ACAGTTTGTGGTTTTGTTCAAGAAAATAAGAGGTCACTGTCAGTTGGTTCCTTTGCCTCCTGATACAAAACCGCACTAGACAGCTGGTGCTTCGCATATTTTTTATCAGAAAATACGCTCGGCTTACTAGATTCTTCGGATTCCAAGGCTTTTCGTTGGTCTTGGAGGGCGCCTGCTACATTTGTAGTTCACCCATTCGTAACGCAAAAATCGTTGGTACTTCGATTACTAGATGAACGCGCAAATATCACAAAGTTATCCTTTATGTATTCATTTAGGGTCATCTCAAACGCCGTGGAGGATGAAAATGATGCACCCACAAATTTCTCAACGAAAGCCACTTCTGAAGCCATAGCACACAAACTTCAAAGCCGAATGTGCTCCAGTAACTTTCAAAAGAGATCGATTAAAGCAAATCGCACAAAAATGAAAGCAGATGAGGGGATTTTTAAACTGAGCATATATGCAAAGAAGTGCAACATTTTGACGATAAAGTTTTTATTTCACCCACAGGAGTTTTGCAGAAAAATGCATTGTGCCTCTAGGCGTCAGCGGGAGAAAAGAAACCGATTTCAAACGAACCGCGCCATACGCGTTGGTATTCTACAAATGCGGCAAATAGAAAGAAAGTCGGGCGATCCGACGAGGCTAGTAAACTGAGTGCTCCTGTTAATTACAAGCACTACCGTACAGTACATTAGTTGGCCCTCTCTGTTTAGTAGATGGCGCATAGTTTGGTTCCACTGTGGCAGATAATATGCCTTCGCTGTTGAACAAACTCCTTTTGACCGTAAGTGTGCATGTACTGCTGTCAGGGAGAGTTCACTCTAGCGATGTATGCAGCTTCAGATAACAACGGATAGCGCCGTTTTGACGCATCATGGATGGAGTAACTGTCGACCAAGAGTGATGAGGCCACTGGCGACCAACCACACGTGACAAATCGTTTTTGCTTGTTCTTTTGAATCAACGAATGGGTGGGCTTTAGATATAAGCCCTACAAATTCCTGATCAAGGACGGCATGCATACCGGACGTCTGGTTGTATGTGCCTTCATGGAAAGCTAATAGTTTGCTCCCATAAATAAGTTGGTCGGCTTATTCGGGTAGGTGGAGGGCGAACGGCATACTGTGAAGACTTTTGTCATGGACAAGTTGGCGGCACGAATGCTGCCGGCGAGATTGTTTTTCTGTTGTGATATCATGCTTTACCGGTAAAATATAAGAGGCTCACAGGAGACCCTATGTGTCACATAACATCCATATTCATAGACAGTGCTAACAGCCAGTGCATGTTCCTCCGCCTGGCCAACCTGGAGAATGCCGTACAGTATGTATTTTGTTTCTCATAATTATATTGTACACATTCCGGTAGGATCTACTGCTGGCTGTGCGACAAGCACACACGATTTTCTCTTACCTCACGGCCCACTGCTTGCACACCACCCGCAAATGGGCTCCGCTCACCCAATTCAAGACGGTTCATTGTAGTACTATGACTAACAACCGCCCAGTTTGCTGAAAACCAATGCGCGCCACTCTGACACATTGGAGCATGCCATATAGAATGTGTCCAAGCACGTCGATCGACTCTTGCGGAAATATGAGCTGCATACGTCGTACCACTGCGACCGACAGAATTCCGGGGATTGATGGCTACGTTCTGAAGTTTCTCTTTCGAATGACTGTGTATGTACGTTTCCTCGTTTGTGGGACCTATGGCCACGACCCCCAAGACTATATCCCTGTAGTGTTGCAACAAACAAGATGAGGTCAATCTACGCTAACTAGCTTATAGTTCCTGGTGTAAACACCGAGATGATTCCAGAGGGTTTGCATCTGTGCTGGAAAGTGCACATGCCATAACCCAGGAAAAGAAAAAATGTACCTGCCAATCGATCAGCAAAGCAGGCATTCTATGATATTGAGTGCAATCCTGAAGCACAAATTCCCAGAAAATTTTTTCCTTCGGAAATTTGCTTGCGTCAGTATTTTTTGCTCCAAAAAGAAGCTATTTGACGGCAGTGATTTATTGGATTAATATTATGACTATCGCTGTGGAGCTCGAGCAAGCGGAATGAGATTACGATGAGTTCAAATCACGCAAAACCCGTCGCTAATTTCATGCCAGCCTCGTTTTTTCTTGAAACCTCATCATCAGTTGGCGCCAAGCTACAAGAATTAACGGAGAGAAAATCAGCTGTTGAAAACAGCTTTGTGTGAAGAAGTCCCCAAGAGGTCGTCGCCGCTAAAGTACTTGTTTTATATGGTATGCATTGCCCATAATTTCACATTCGACAACTCCGTAGTAATATTTTGATAAACTACCTTGTGTCATACTCTCATTCTAGTACGCCAAAAGCCCAATGAACACTGCGTACCTGGCAGACGCATGCACTGATCGAAATGACCCGTAAAATTCAGCTTTTCATTTCGTGCACTTTGAACTTTCTACTGTTCCCGGTAGACGTAGTGCTTCAATCAGTTGGTCGAGGAAGGTTCCACGTGTTTAGTTAATTAGACATCTCGGATCCTTAGCCGCACTCTAGTTTCGTGCGTAAATTGTGTTTGTTCAGCTGCTTTTTATGGCCAACGTATGTTTCGTGTGTTTAGTTGATTAGGCATCGTCAAACTTAATACCGATACGCTAATATCAAGCGACGTACCAAAAACTTCACATGCAGCCGGGACAAATTATCATCTGGAGCTCCACATTCATGACATCTGGCACGAGTTTTGGAATACGATGATTGTTTTTGTAGCGGTGCTTGCTTGGAACATCTATCCACATGGTCCAAGAACAAATGGTTCTTCTTTCGTCCAGTCGACCGGTAGATTCAAGCCAAAATTTGGTTACAGTAGCGAAACTTCGGCATCTTTTGCGTTCATTGTTACAAATTTGTCTCACACACGTTTCACGAATTATTACAGATACAGAAATACCGGTCAATTCCACTCGACTTAAGAGATTCGCGCTTTACATCAAGTCGGGATAAAATATTACATTTACACGCCCTTATACAATTCAACGAAACAAATGACCTTGAGGATTAACTTATTTTAAAAAATCACTTATACTTGGAAGTTGTGGGACAACCTATCGATTGGGGGATTCTCAACTCTGAGGGGGTTACCCTCAAATTATACTCATTCCCAGTCTAAATTACACTCTGCCTCCTTCTAGCGGACCTTTTCGACCCATTCCGATTTTTACGCAGCTGCGTTTTTGGGCTATCTGAACATCTAAAATCAACCACGTTGCGTTTTTGGTGAATCTAATAATATCCTTTCACCACACGATTTCTTGCTCAGTCTCAACCACTGAAACAAAATAACTTACTCAACAAAGACATTCATGCACGCCACGGTGCACAAACTTAAGTATGATGTTGAGATAATAGTTAATCATTGCCACTAAAGGGGCCAGTTAGAACGAATTAATGACGTCCAAATGAGACTTTCGGTGTACCCTCTGCCGAACTTTGAAGCTTGTGAAGCGGGCGGAGGAGGCTGAGATTATTAGAGTATTGTGGGGGCCAAGAGGTTTCAGGTCAATAGATAACCAATAATCTAGGGGGTGACATCAAGTCAACTGAACCACTAATTGTCGGATCCGTGCTGAGTAACCTGGTAATCGAGGTCCAGCTGAGGTTGCCCATGTAGTATTATGACAGTCAATCACTATTAGTGTGCTTTTGCCCGGCGAGTATGCAGTACATTCAGATAGCGATGTGAAAAACCACCAGTGGCTTTAAAAGTCGCGGCACGTGCTTGGCAGTAAGTATCAGTTTATCAGAAAGCGTAAGGTATAGGGCTACAGTAGTTGCGTTGTTTAGGAAAAGTGAGAACTCAGTTTCCGAGGTGCTGAACTATTCGGCAAGGGTGGGCTTGGCAGGAGTCTGTAAGTGCTTTTAACCTAGCTTAATA